ATCCTTCAGAACTAGATTTCAGGCTGACTGAGGTCATGATTCCACTTAGTCTCTCTTTTCCTCTAGGTGGGATCACTCATCCTCAGTCATTAGTGCTGACTTCCTCTGGAGGTCACCATCACCACTGCCCAAGCACTTGCAAGCTAAGTAGTCACCTCCTTGTAGGCCCACTTGCTTCCAGATAAACTCTGGGGCCATTTCTAAGTGCCCCAAAACATAAGCCCTGAACACCAACCTCTTCCTCACAGCTTGGACATGGCCTTATGGTTTACTGCTGGGCTCTAAAGATAGAATGAAAAAAAGGGGCACGGGATCCGATGGAGAGTACACTCCTTTAAGTAAGACCTTTCAGGCTTGGGAAATCACCAAGTTTTTGTTTACTTCGAACAGCTTAATCTATGAGGAGCACTGGAAATGGATTTGAAAAAAAAAAAAATCTTAAACTACATATACATTGATCTGGACATCAAGAAGTTTCATATCAACAATTCAGTATGAAACTACAATAATGAATAGAAAAAGAATGTGACAACCCTACAGACCATTGGATATGTGGATTCGTATTCTCCACAGAGCAACAAATCTGAAAGACTTTCAAACCCTGGATTTAAAACTTTCTAGATTTGGGGATTTTTTTTTTGTTTTTTGTCAGCACTGAGGTTTGAACTCAAGGCTTCATTCTTGCTAGGCAGGCACTCTACCAGCCCCTTTTTGTGTGTTGGTTATTTTTGAGATAAGGTCTCAAGAACTATTTGCCTGGGCCTAGCTTTGAACCATGATCCTCTGGATCTCTGCCTCCAGAGTAGCTAGAGTTATAACCATGACATAATACATAGAACAGAGACATGGGGTTGGGGGCAAAGCAGGGGGAATCCATAGGATTTAAGTGTCATTTTTATCACAGTATGAACTTTAGGGTTGGTGGAAGTGAGGTGTATCAAGCTTAACAATACATTCCAAGAGTTTTATCACAGGTCTATCTACAACATATTCAGTTTTTAGAGAAGTTTCAAGGTTTCCAGAAAATAAAATAAAAGCATGCCTCAAAGAATACATGGTCAACCCATGGTTTGATATGATTCCTCTGGCTCCAAAGAAGCCCAGAAGATGACACTCATTCAAGATGCAGGTGGGTCTTTCTCCAAAATATTCTGCTTTGATTTCAATGAATGTTGTGCCTATTGGTACATATCTTGACAATTTACACATGCCAAAAATTTAAGGTAATCTCTACTTGTAAGACACAGAAGTTGTTATAATGAATTTAAAAATAATTTAATTCAGAATTTAGGGAATAATTAAAGTCTACCACAGTCACAAACAGTTCTTAAACTATGATTTAGAAGTTTAAAAATTGTTTTGAAGTTGGGCACCTGTGTCTCATGCCTATAAGTCTAGCTACTTGAGAGGCTGAGATCAAGAGGATTGCAGTTCCAGGCCAGCCTGGGCAAATAGTTTGTGAGACCCCATCTCAACCAATAGCTGGGAGCAGTGGTGGAAGGCTGAGATCAAAGGATCTTGGTTCCAGGTTAGCCTGGGGGAAACCCATTTGCAAACCTCTATCTCAATGAAAAAAGCTGGATGTGGTGGCATGCCTGTCATCCCAGGTATAGATTCAAGCCAGCCTGGGCAAAAAGTGAGACCCTATCTCCAAAATCACCAGAGCAAAAGACTGGAGGTGTCATTCAAGCAGTAGAGTTCCTGATTTGCAAGTGAGAAGCCCTGAGTTCAAACCCCAGTATTGCCCAAAAAAATTGTAAAATTGTTTAGAACGTCAACACATTCAGCAGTATTGAAGTTCAGAACTTTTATACATATATATATATATATACATACACACACACACATATATATATGTCAACACCACTATAAACATGTTTATAAGGCAAAGACAAAAATGGGAAAAATAATATCTGTGACAGGAGTACCAGAAGTTTACTATCAACAAATGGCCTTTATGAAATAGAAAAACAATAATATTCCAGAGGAAAAGTCTAGCACTACATTGAAATGTATATATGTATGTGTGTATACATATATACATATATTAAAACAAATTTTTGGTGTTCAACATCATTTGTAATCAGAGAAATGCAAATTTAAATATTGAGATAGCACTGTTCACCTATAAAGCTGGCAAGAAAAATACTTTTTAAAGATAATTGTCCATGTTGACAAGAAAAAAATAAATACTCTCGGAACGCTAGTAATCACACCCCAGTTAAACACTTTGGAAAGCAAATGGTCAACAGGTATCACAAGACCTTTGAGCCATGAACTATATTTCAAGGACTCTACCTTAAAGAAATACTCCCTGCACACAGTTTTTTAAAGGGTAACTGCTGCAATCATGTATTTAGTGAAAGTAACTGTAACAATGCTTAAACTGACACATCTACAGAATGTAATATTATACAAACACTAAAATAGGATTTTTGTAGAGTTAATGCCATGGGAAGTTTTTCATGATAGGTTAAGCAGAAACAAAAACTGGCATGTAACAATATATTTGTATAAACGCTATTATTATGAAAATAAACCATATGAATATTAACATGTATAAAGAAAATATTAACCAATTGTCTCTGGATTGGATTGCTTAACTTACACTTTTCTGAATCTACCCACTTTATACATCGTTTGAAATCAATGGGGTTAACAGAAGTATTAACCCTGAGCTATTAAGTGACATGCTTCTTAAACACTTTAATAACCTCAGTTTAGTTTTCAAGAAATGTATGCAGAATTTCATAGTCTTGTTAAGTACTCTGAAAGTTAACCCTGAATTATTGACAATGTAAAGGTACAGACCTTTGACAACACTTTTCTCCACACAAACCTGCTTTTGCAGGTGAAGGGGCTGAGAGTGCTTCAGTGATAAACCAAGTTTAGCATATGCAAGCCCCAGGTTTGATCCACAGCACAAGGGAAAAAAACAGATGGAAAAAGCTAGTGCAAATTACATAAATAACTGTATGTTATTTTAAACCAAATTCCATTCCTTTTTTAAGGATAAGAAAATAATTCAGGAGGGGCAGGATAGGTAATAATTTTCCTTACAGGCCGGCACCAGTGGCTCACACCTGTAATCTTACCTACTCAAGAGGCAGAGATCAGGAGGATAGTGGTTCAAAGACAGCCCAGACAAATAGTTCTCAATACTGTATCTCAAAAAAAACCCATCCCCCAAAAAAGGGACTGGTGGAGTGGCTCAAGTTGTAGACCGTGAATTCAAGCCCAGCAAAGAAAAAAAAAATCCATATGGAAAAGAACAATTAAGAAAAATTCTATAGAAATGAGGCAAGACAGATTGAGGAGAGGAGACAGGAAAATCATTATCTTATTTGATTAGTAAAAGGACCACCAGACTCAGACATCAGAATTAGGAAGTGAAGACTAAAAACAGAGCAATTAAGCTCACCTCTCATCATCCTTGAGAGACTAAGTTATAAGAACAGGGAGATGTAAAGGGCTATCTATGTGCATTTGCCTCTCTCCTGAAGCTGCAAGGCTCCTTAAATGAAAGAAAACTGGAAGCACCTTTGGCAAAAAGAACCTAAAACTCAATTAACCTCCCTGTGTTTTGGTAGGCCTAGATCATGCCCCCCTGTTTTAGAAAAACCAAACTGCATCCATCTCAGGCACCCAGAACCAATGTCTAATGATTTAGAGTTGCTAGATGACATGGGCACCTGTATTATCCCAGCTCAGAAAGCATAAAGGCCACAGATAAGAACCCCCACTTGAAGTCTTTACTCCCATTTCCTGAATGGGGAGCAGGGAATGTTTCTCCCTAATTTTATCCTGTTATACATAAATCCTTGCTAAAACTTCCACCTTTCCAGACTTCTTGTTGTGAGACACTTTGAAATGCTTTTCACTATGAATCTCAAGTACCTGTGATTTCTGCATGGAAACTGGGACATTGAGGGAACCCCCTCCTCCTGTGATAGAAGCACTTTTCTGTACTGTAAAGCACTATACAAATATCACTTTAATTTAGTCTATCATTTCCTGCTCTTATCAATGAAAAAAGTTTGTTTACAGAATTGCAACTCTGATTATGCAATTCCTTTGAAAGTTATCCATGCACTGTTATCTGGGCGTATTTGAACTCCTTAAAGAGGTCACTGGATCCAGGGCCTCTGTGTTCTCACTCAGAGGCAGTCGCCCTCTCCCTGGAATCCTCCCACCGCCACCCCAGAACTGAGATTAGTATGAAGATTCCAAGCACCTGGCAAAACATGAAAGCTTTCTTTCCCCCTGTTTTGCCCAAGTCTCTGGTTTTATTCAAACAAACAAAATACACTGGATTTCCTTTCTTACAACATTGACAACTTAAAATAGTATTTAACAGAGTATGTGCAACTACACAGGCTACACGAAAAATTAACCTCTTCATCCTTACTCTCAAGTAAACTATTACAAGTCAAAACAACCTAGCGGGAGAGCAGCTTTGCAAGGAGAGGGCAAAAGGGTTCATCTAAAGTCAGTAAACCCTTAAATCCATTAACTACCATTGAGTGGTGAATAAGGTGACCTTAGAAAAGGATTTTTCTAGAGAGCTTGAGCAGTACCAACGGGCAGCAGGAAGTAGCAGGGCCCAGAGAGAGGACCTAGGGAACTGCAGGAATTCATGGTCTCCCACATTTTCAGCCCTGATTAAGAGAAGGCTGCGGCTGCAGAGCCCTGAGGGTCAAGTGCCCAGTGGGCGGCTTCCGGGATACACGCTGACCAGTTGGCAAAACCGAGTCTACAGTAAGCCCACCCTCCGGTCACTTTCAAGGTGACAGCCACAAGATTCGCATTCGTCCATTCTGCAGCTGACCCCACGTGAGACCTGTCTCCCCACTTGCTCCCCCAGCTTTGACACCTACCCGTCCCCAAAAGCCTGTCCCGTCCAGGTTAGGCAGTGGCATTCAGCCAGCCCTCCCTCCACCTCTCCCGAGATGTCCACGGCCGCCAGGCTGGGCGGCTGCCGTCACCTCAGCTCCACTTACCGCAGTGTCTCCACGCCGACGCGGGCCCTGCCCCCCGGGAGCGGAGCGGAGCGCAGAGGCGCGGGGCCCCGCACTCGGTGCGCGCGCCCTGGGCACCCCGGGAGGCGCGCGGCTCAGCCCCGAACCCCAACCAGCACCCCAGCGGCGGCAGCGGCTGCCAAGCGGAACCCGGAGTTGGGGTGCCTCAGTCTCCGCGCCTCCCGCCGCCAGGGGGTGGAGCAGGGGCGGGGAGTTCGGGAAACTTGGAAGTGGGAAAGCTCAGCGGCCTCGGTCTCCTCACCGCGGCAGCTTCTATTGAGCGGACCCCTCCCGAGTATCGCAGCAGGAGACCAAGGCCAGGCGGTGTCCGAGGGGCTGCACCCCAGAAACTTGGAAGACACGCGAGGCAGTACCTTGGGGCACTGGCTCGGGAGACGCCAGCCGTGCAGAGCTCCGCTCGGCGCGCGCGCTGCTCGCTCAGCTCGCTCCCTCCTTTCGCGCTCCCGGGTCCCAATCCCGAAGCCCCGCGCGCTCCCGGGCTAAGTGCGGACCCGCCCCACGCCCCAGGCGTTGGTGCTGCACCTGTTGCCACGTGCAACGCGGAGCCCCCGGCTGTTGCTCGCGCACCTGGCTGAGCCGGGCGTCCCCAGACCACACAAGTCCACGCGGGTGAACAAAGGTCTGCGGGTGCCCAGTGCTGGAGCCCCCCGGGCATCAGTCTTTGCCTACTGCCCTCTGGCCACCTGTGTTCTCTTTCCCAGAGCTTCTGGTGTCCCAGAGTGTTGGGTACTTTGGAGGTGGGAAGGTTGCAGAATTGTCAGGGCGGAGACTTACAAAGAACTTGCAGTGATTGTTTCTTTGTGGGTCGCACTGGCGGTCTGTGATGTCTTCATACTGCCAAGACGTTTATTAATGAGCATCTATTAAAGATTAAAGAAATGAGCACTCCAGCTGTTGGATCTTCAGATAAAAAGTGGAAAGTTGCGGAGAACAGCAGAAGAAAGTAGGCCTGCCTCACTTTTCTTTAAATATAAACTAAATCCTTGCTCTTTGCTAAACTGAGCAAATTTCATCCAAAGCCTTCCCAAAGATGATATTCTGCTATAAGATACTTAACTGCACCAGTAAGTGCCAGAAAACCAGAGCCCTAAATTTAAAAATACAAAAAATAGTTTAATTATCGCACTTGGGTTTGTTAAAGTCATTTTAAGCAAGCTTCTTCATGGTGGGGTGAAAAGAGGGGTGAAGGGGGAGAGGACACCTGAAGATGGCGTATTTCACAAAGTTGCCTCTACCCTGAATACCGGATAAACGTTTTGCCGTTTATAGTTGTAAAACCATTTCACGTGGACAATGATCCATTATTCCTCCCAAAGAGATCCAGGTGTATATAGGTCAGATTATTATCTCAATTATTCAAGTGAGGAAATTGAAGCTCAGAAAGGTCAAGTGACTTGCCCAAGATCATACAACTAGTGAAGGGTGAGACAAGGGCAAACCCAGCAGGCCTAACTCCCAATCTTTTACCCATTACGTAACACCTCTTACTTGCTTTTGAAGTCCCTGTTGTTCAGACAGGTAACTAACATGATCTATGACTTTAGGAAAAGGCATGTGATTAGTTTTAAAGATATACAGCATTAAAACGCCACCAGATGATTCTCCCTTATGCAAAAGCACACACACAAAACAAGCCCTGATGTTTCTGCCAAGCCTTGGGACAATTATGATAATTAGCAATGTGACTCCTCCCCAAGCAGAATTCACCTTGTGTTGAACACATTGTTTAATCTGTATAACCTGCATGTGACCCGGATGATTTGGTCCAACCCCCTCCCCACACACACATAGTTCTATTGCTTCGTTTAGTTATATCTATAAATATAAAACCTGTTTTACTTCATTTTTCAATGTGATAGTTTAAGAAAAGAAAACTGAAAACTCCCTCTGCTAAGTAATTAGAGCTACATTTGTGGGCACTGGGAAATCTGAAACTTAGATTCAATTGCATCCACATAAAAACAGAAATTATCTTCCAGGGACACCATCAGGGACCCTGTCAAGGCAAATATTCCTGAAATGGGGCCTATTGGCTTTTTTTTCCATCTTGGTTCTGGGCAGGTTGCCATGTTCCTGATCTCTGAACTCTTAATGCTGACCTGTTACAATATTAAGAATCAGATAATAGCACCACATAACTTTGTGGTCCTTTGTCCTTAAAAAAAAATAAAAAGCATATTTTTCATCTGAGAGAAATGAAAAAAAAACTATATTAAAAAAACATTTTTTACTTGTCATATTGTCAAAATTAGAAAATTTGATATACTGTGTGCTTGTAGAAGTGTAGACAGGGCAGATGCAGATGTGAATATAAATTATAGTGCTCTCCACAATTCACAAGACCTAACAATTACAAATGCACATATTCTTTATGCTAGTAAGCCTACATAGAAGAGTTTATCTTGAGCACACATGAGAAATGTGTATGTAAAGCCTTGTTTATTTCAGCATTGTTTATAGTAATGAAAGATTTGAAGCAGTGCAAATGCTCGATAATTAAGAACTTATTAATAAAGGATCTACTACAAAGAATCATGATACAGCCATAAGGTATAAAGCTTAAAAATGAGAAAATGCTTTATACCACTATGAAATAACCCCAAGCTTCACTATGTACAATTTTTAAAATACAAAACAATTACCTAATAGTATGCAACTATTTCCACTAAATAGTGGTTATATGTACTTACACTGTATACATATGCATATATTTTTGTTTGAATTAGCAAAAAAATATGTAAAATGATACAATACCAGTATTGTATCATTACAATAAACATGATAAACATGGTTGCATCTTGGAAGGGGTGTTGGATCACTGAAGGATAAATTTGGAAGGGAAACTTTCACTTGATATAATTTTATTCTTTTTGTGTTTTGAATCCTGTAAATGACAAACCCATTCCAATTAAAGTTTTTTCATCACTTGAAGTTTTGCTATCAATATTGGCTAAATTTCTCTGTCAATGAGGTTCAGTTGTAAATAAAATAAATGATCAAAATTTTCATGCATTAATGAGGGAAGAAGCAGAATGCTCAATAGATGCTTTTAACTCTGTTGCATCTCTAGTTCATTTTAACAGGGAGACATTAATACAAAAACTGTAACAATCTTGCTGTGAGTGTGGTGAAAATGATGCTACAGCAAATTCCTTAGAATTTTATAAGCATGACATCTCCCCAAGGTAAAGCTTCCAGCCAACTTTCCCAAGGTCACACTTATGCAGAAAGGCATAAAGAACACAGGCTTAATTCTCAAGGGGAAACTCCAGTACATTTATTTGAATAGAGAAAAAATAATTCCATGGGAATTCCATGGAGTTGTATTTTACTTTCTTCCCAATCCAGGTCTCTCTTTTTGTTACTTTTTTTGTATTTGTTTCTATCACCACTTCATTGAACAGGGATTTGAAGAAGCTAAAAGATAGGACAGATTTTAAAACTAAATATTTAGAAGGCTAAATAATTTTTTATTTGAAATAGAGTCCCTGGAAAGTAGTACTGTTAAGGAACAAATAAGACACTGAGTTTCCTAGTAGCCAGGAGCTCCAACCAGTAACATAACTTCTATTTTCAAAAGGGTGTGATAGTTCCTTAAAGGAAGCAAAACTTTTCCCAGCATTGAATGCCAAGAAAATTTTTTGTTACTCATTTTTTCAGACCAAGATTACTGAATAAGAAAAACATATATATGTATTTGTATATTATATATATGTATATTGTATGTATAGCATATCTGTGTATATATATATACATATATATATATAAACTCAAACCACTTGCCTAGTATGTATGTGTGAGGCAATGTGTTTGATCCCAGTACTACAAGAAAAGTGTGTGTGTGTGTGTGTGTGTGTGTGATTAGAATACTATAAGGATCTTTGTATATTTTTTCATAGTGGCTTTGAATAAAAACAAAAACTATTATTATAATAAACTCAACTGGAGAAAGGTGCTCAGTCAGGGACCAGAGTAATTTCATCCCAGTCTTATAACAGAAATCAGAGATTGGCTATAAATAGATATGTGTATGTTTAACAGCTCCTTTGGATATACTTCTGAGAGTCAAATAAGATCGTGATAAAATTCTTACCTCTCCACAAATCTCTTGCCCCAGGGGTAGACAAAATTGCTTTATACAACATTCCAGAAATTTTCCAATCATAAAGTCATTTTATAGGTGTAGAATTATGAGAAGTTGTTTTCATCTCTGACAAAGTTTTAGTATGTTGGAATTTTAAGATACTGCTGATGACTCTTCTTGTCTATTTTGGTGCAGAGAACATGTACATTACAAATAGCCACATGAATTTTAATTCCTGTATCCCAGAATGGTGACACATGATCAAATACACAGACCAACCAGTTGTAGCAATGACTCCATAGCAAGAAAGTGAGAGCAGAAGCACAGTAAATGGTCCTGATTTATTTACAAACAACTCTCAAGTTTCTGATTACCTATTCTTCTTAGCAGGCTTGAAAAATCAATTGAACTCTACTTAATCTTCCAGAAGGGTAACTATCGGAGTAATTCTTGCATTAGTATACCAATTTGTAAATAAAACATCTCAAGAAAGAGTTTCTTGTTGCGAGTTCACAGGAGTAGCAATAATGAGGAAATACAGCTTTCTTTTATCAAAAATAATCCGAGAACATCTGAGAAACTCTCCCATTTCCCTAAACCCTGGAAGGCATCTCCTTCTGTTCCATTTATAGACTCTGTAGAAAGAAACGTTCTTATAGCATGATGCCAAAATTATTTTAGTTCACACGCAAACAAGTTGTTCTGTAATTCTGCTGTGGACCTCCTCATATTAGGAAGAAATTAAGAAAAATATAGCACTACCAGATTGTTATGCAACCACTTTGAAAATGTTGACTTTGAGTGCTTAAAATGTCATGACTAAAGAAACTACTGCTCTGTGTGATCTGCACTTGACAATGAATCATAACTGTGTCACACTGGAACTTGTTGAGGCTTTGCTCCAATCAGATGGAGAAGTCCCTTAAAAGGGGGACATATTTTCAATTTCAAAGCATTTACAGCTTTATGACAAATAATAACAGATCTATAGCTTTGCAATCTCATACCTTTGAGATTATTAGTTGTTTTTCATATTACAGATGTTTTTCTTTTCTGAATTAAGTATATAAAATAATGAGTTTCATTATGAAATTTTCATAATTGCGTACTATGCACTTTGATCACATTTACCCCCCTTTCCCCTTCTT